GTGCCTACCCTAGAGGAGTACGAAATTATGTTAAAATGGCCCAAATCAGCTGGGGTCCATATCCGCCACGAGACGTATACTCCTGCAGCACCAGTCGCTGCCCTTATCCATCTGCCATACCGACAGAGTACCCTGATGGGAAGAGGGAACACCCAGGGGTGGAAAGTAGCAATGTTAGAAGACCACCTGTCCTACCCGGCTGAAAGGGCAGAGTGGGTTGCCTTCAACAAAACCCCGGCGCTATTAATCTTCGGGACAATCCTGTTCCCCTTCCAACTCGACACGGTTGACCACGCCGTCATGGACGCTTTCTTCGCTCGGGACGTAAACTCGAAGAGTCCCTTGCCCGCTATTCTTGCCGACACCTTGCTTTCGGTAGACTTCGCCGTCGAAGCAAGGAAGAACACTTCGTTGCTGCTCTTCGCTACTTTATGTGTGGAGCGTCACGCACCTCTATGCCTCCAGTCATATGGGGATATTCCCGACCCCTTGAGAAGCTTCTCCAAGATCCCCCTCCAACGACGCCTCGACCATAGAATGGAGGGATGAGTTAGAACGGAAGGATGCCAACAACATATCTTGGGTCTGTCCTTGGTTCCGACCCGACCCAGCTTCTAGTCGGATGCGGGAACCATCCGAATGTACCCTTGATAGGACTCGGGGGTTGCATAGCCTACTCACCTAGAGTAGCTATAAGGCAACTTATGAGGACTCAAACTACCATCTCCCGAGGGGAACTCGGAGGATTGTGCTTCTTTGGAGACCCATGCACAATGGCCAACTCATTGACTATGAGGAAAGCATGGGAGAAGCCAGCTTACATGGGAGACAGAGAGCTAGGAAAGGCTCGGGTAGTCGTCACCGAGTGATTATGAGGCATGGAGGAGAAGAAGAGAGATGGCCCGACCATCCACCACACCCGCTCCAATCGCCAACAACGAAGAGCTTCAGGCACAAGTCAATGCCTTGACCCAGAGGGTAGAGATAATGGGAGCCCAGATACGGTCCCTTGAGGAAAAAGAACAGGCCTCTGTCCTCATGATTGATGGTCTGCAAAGGCAAGGCAGGAAAAAGGATCATGAAATAGAACGCCTCAAGGACCAATGTGCTGACGCCAACGAACAAGCTATCCGAGCATCCAAATCCGCCAGAACCAGCTCGGATAGCCAACTGCAAGAGATAACCGCCAAAACAGCACACCTTGAGGCGGAAGCAGCTCGAGCAAGCTCAAACGATCAAGGAGTTATCGAACAACTCCTCCAGGCTCGGCTAGACCTCCGCCAAGAGCAAGAGAACAACAGAAAACTCAGCCGAGGTATCTACGAGCTGCGCATTAAAGAGAAAAGCGGGCTAGCTCAATATGACCAAGTGTTACAAGAAAAAGACCGAGCTGTCGCAAGGCTTGACGAACTAGAAGCCTTGGTCATACATCAAGAGGCGAAGATCAAGGACGCTCAGCAATACAGCGAAGAAATGAGCCAAGCGATCCATAAACAAAGCGAAGCGCTCGCTCAACACGTCCGGGAAGCCGAAAGAGAATTACAAAGAAAACAAGACCCGCCTGTGGGTTTCTTTAGGCTTTTCCGCTTTTGTCAAAAGACGCTTCGTAGTATGGAGTAGGAGAATGTACACCTTCCACTGAATTAATGAAATCATTTTCTTATTCAACATTTGTCTACTTGCATACATGTACATACATTTGCATATTTAATTTCCCCTCCTTCACACTTAATAAATAAGATAATAAAAAGGAAGGATTAACTAACACGTCTTCCAACTCAGAAGAATGGAGAGAAAGCCACTCCTAATAAAGCTCACCCCAACGGCCGAATCACCGCAAGAGGAAAGTAAACCTCGGCCGTTGGTCCTCAAAAATAAAGAAGAAGGGGCAAGGACACCAGTACGACTTTTTATGCCACGTCCTTTCCCCTACGAATCAGATAAAGCTGTACCATGGAGATATGGGGAATCTTCACCAATAAAAGAAGAAATAACGAACATAGCCGGCATTGGGAGCACGACTAGAAGTGGAAGAATCTACTCCCCCAAGGACACGCGGGAAGATGTCCTTCAAAATAAAGGAAAAAATAAAAAGACCGAAGAAGAAAAAGAAAATAAAGAATCTAAGGAGGAGACAGGGGAATTACTCCAGTTTATTAGGCAAAGTGAGTATTCCATTATCGATCAGCTCAACCGTACGCCTGCAAAGATCACGTTGCTATCTTTGATAATGAGCTCGGAACCACACCGAAACGCCCTGCTGAAGGTCTTGAGCGAGGCGCACGTACCTCACACCATATCCCAAGAGAAGGTCGAGAGGATCGTCGGTCACATTACGGCAAGCGATCACCTCGCCTTCACAGAGGAAGAACTCCCTCTTGAAGGGTCAAAACACAACAAGCCCTTGCATATCTCAGTCAAATGCAAGGAATACCTCATCGCCAAAGTTCTTGTGGATAACGGGTCATCCCTGAACGTAATGCCAAAATGCACACTGGATAAGTTAACCATCCAGGGGGCCCGTCTACGCCCAAGTAGCACCATCGTTCGAGCCTTCGACGGATCAAAGCGAGAAGTAGTGGGAGAAATTAATTTGCCAATCCAGATTGGACCCACTATCTTTGACATCGATTTCCATGTAATGGACATAGCTCCAGCATACAGTTGTCTCCTCGGTAGGCCTTGGATTCATGACGCTAAGGCAATACCTTCGACGCTCCACCAAAAAGTCAAATTCATAGTGGAGGATAAACTGGTCACGGTCCAAGCAGAAGACGATATCTTGATCAGTGGACCATCCACCCAACCCTATGTGGATGCAGCCGAAGAGGCACTTGAAACGTCTTTTCAAGCGCTCGAAATTGCCAACATAGAGCGACTTCCCAGGAACACCAAGGTAGCCCGTATGATGTTGAAACATGGCTACCATCTCGGCCAAGGACTGGGGGCAGATTCCCAAGGAATAAGGGAACCCCCAGAATTCAAGGATAATCCTCACAGGTATGGCCTAGGATATAACCCATTCAAGGGTCAAGCGGGAAGAATAAAAGGGAAGTCTCCTCTCCGCACACTCAAGCAAGTTTTCCGAAGTGGAGGAGTGCAGGCGTCAAGAGCCACTCTAGTCATTAGGAGACCTTTTTCTTTGTTTAAGGGATGTAAACCCTATGATTGTTAGAGACTATCCCCCGTGGCGAGCCCGACCCCCGGGCATTTCAGGGCACATATTCCTTCATTAATTAATAAAGAATGATTCTTTCTATCTCGCTTCTCTTCTTTCTACTTTTGACTAGACCACATAAATAACCCTGTCTAAGCAAACATGACAAGAAAAAGAAGAATAAGAAGCGCTCCCAAATAATCAAAACTTCATCATTGCTATCATCATCAAGTTAGCCGATTAGAAGCACATAAAAATAAGACTTCACTTAAGCCATAAAGAAAGTCACGCTTCGCCAATACCGTGAACAAAAGAATAACAAAAAAAAGAAAAAGCCCGGAGAAGCCAAAGGCCAAAGAAAAGGGCAAATTACCCGTAGGAAACCCACTAAGGGGGCTACACAAAAGTTAGGGTCAACCCGTAGGATACCCGAACAACAATAAAGGGTAGCCTAGGCAAAAGTTAGGGTTACAAATAAAGGTCCGCTAGGATTTCTCCAAAATTTTACAAGAGAGTAGACCTAGACAAAAGTTAGGACCGACACACAGTAGCCTAGTTCGAAAACCCAAAGGGCGATCTAGGGAAATCAGCCAGCTATCCGAAAGCGATGGAAATAAAACCAAAGAGCGCAAATAAAAAAGAGAAAGGGAAAATGTTTGCTTAGACAAAAGCTTAAACACTCATGCTTAACCCTTTTGCCAGCCCATTCTTACAAATTCTTTATCGATAAAAATCAACCCTCTAAAACACAAACCATTGATTTTTACCTCATCTTACTTCTTTTCTCTTGACCCTCACAACAATATTCTAATAATTAATTTGGGAATATGGAGGCGTATAGTCAACAAGAGGATTGAAACCCCTAAAAGCAAGGAAAAAGGGACACTACACGACGAAAAGTGCTTTACCAAAAGAAACAAAGAAACAAAAAGAGAAAAATAGAGAAAGAAAAATAGAAGGAAAGAAAGAAAGAGATTATCCTTCTGGTCACAAAAACCGGCATGGTACAGCCAAAAGACAAACGCAAAGAAATCAAAGGGCTTTCAAGACAACAAGGCATGTCTGGTTAAATCCTTCCGAAAACTTAATCAAAATAGGCATTATAGGACATCAAAACATAAAAAAACATTGCATGCATAAAATGTTTTTAGACCAGGTCCTATTACTCCTTTCAAAAAAAAAAAAAAAAAAAAAAAAAAAATTCTCACAAAACGAGAACGCAGTCTCGTTGCACGAGAACGCCGTCTCGTTGTCGCAAAACGAGAACGCCGTCTCGTTACACGAGAACGCCGTCTCGTTTACCCCGCAGAACGAGAACGCCGTCTCGTTGTACGAGACCGCCGTCTCGTTGATGGCGAAAAACGAGAACGCCGTCTCGTTGCACGAGAACGCCGTCTCGTTGTCAGCAAAAACGAGAACGCCGTCTCGCTATTCCCGCGAACGAGAACGCCGTCTCGCTTGCACCAGACCGCCGTCTCGCTGATCGGCGAAAGCGAGAACGCCGTCTCGTTGCACGAGAACGCCGTCTCGTTCCTCGAAGACAAACGAGACCGCCGTCTCATCCACCCGCGACGGCGGTCTCGATCCGGAAAATCTCCCTATAAATAGGGGCGCGCTTTGGGCTTCCTCACACCTCATTTTGACCCCGTAACTTCCTCTCCCTCAACTCTTGCACTCCCAAGCCCCTCTCGATCAATATGTTTGGAAGAAGTGCTTCTAGGAAGAGAAGGGGCACCGCCGGTGCTAGTAGTTCCACAAAGACCGCCATCTCGAGACCCTTCCCAGCCTTGCACCACAACACCAGGCCCGTCTTGAGAACATCCGGACCTACCAATGGCACCCCATGCTCAAGCTAGATTTCAACATCCCGACCGAGTTCGGATGGGAAGACGACGTCCGGGCCTATCTAGACAAGCATTGGATGGGGATTCCCGTTGCACCCACCACCGACACATGTGTACTCGCAGGCGGTGCCGGAATTCTTAGCCTCTGTCTCCTACTCGAGAGTCCCTCCACCGTCCCAGTGCCTACCACCCACTCGGATGGTAACCTACTTTATGAATGGGCGAGACCGAACTTCTACCCTCGCAGAATTCAACGTGGACATCGGTTCATCCGCCCGAGGAAGCCATGAGCCAGGAGTATCGTGACGCTGTCTCGCTCACGGCCCGCCCACCTTACCGCCGCCGAAATGTGGCGAGAGCTCACGGAGCCACCACGCCGCCTACGCCGATGAGGGATCTCGCACTTCCCCAAGCACTTCGCATCCGCCACAAGCCGCCGGGCGTGAACTATACATGCGAGGAAAGAAAGTCAAGGCAAGGTGTCCCTTCCCGACCTCTTCATACTATACCGCATGAGCCAAAGGCGACGCCGCAACCCCGGGTACTTCTTCTCGAGAGCCCTCGGAGACTTCGGGAACAGATCTGCGGGAGCGTCCTCGTTGCTCCCCTCATTACCCCCTAGCGTAAAAGATTGGGTGTCCCGGACGGAAGAACTAACCCACAACCTCGCGTCCCGAGTCCATCGGCGGACGATCTTGGTCGGCATGGGAATGCCGATCCGTAGCGGAACCAGCTGGCTCTCCACCCCACCCCGGATTTTGCCTTAGAACTCCATGATGTGATGCAGGTCGCGCCCACATCCCCCGATTCCCAAGCAGAAGCAGCAGCAACGAAGCAGCAGCAGCCACCCCGGTATTCGGACGACTTTGCCGGCATGCACCTCCACATGGACGACTCGTGCCGACAGCTCGACGGCATGACCGTAAGACAAGAACAAAGCGTCCCGCAGGCGTGAACAGCCTAATCCAAACAAGTGGAACAATTGTCACAAAGGCAAGAGGCCTTTGACACCCGACCGGGGGAGATGTACCAGTACCAACAAAGCATGCGCCAAGACTCGGGCAACTTTTCAGCGAGAGGTACGAGGATGAAGTCCTAGAGCAAGAAGACTTCGGATATCACATGTACCAAGCACTACCCTCCCCGTGGATCAGGTCCAGAGGATAGCCCCTAGGGATAGTAGTTCCAAAAATAGATGTAATAAAATTTCCTCATGAATAAAATTTTATTTCGTACATCTTTTTGCCATCCTTTCCAAAAGTCAGCATAGTAAAAACAAAACAAAAAACTAAGAGTAAAAAAGACGTATGCTCAAGGAAAAAGCCAAAACCCTAAGATCGCGAGGAAAAAAGAGATAAAACCGCGAGAAAAAGGCAGGGTTAAAAACATCGCACCAACCAATAAAGTCTCAACCACCAAACAAAAGTCAAACAAAACCAAGATCCATCCAATCAACCAACCAGGATTGGATGATCATTACCAAAAAGAACAAGAACAAAGGACCTCCAGCAATCAGGCAAAGCCCGATTGATCACCAACAAAACCCCCGGCATGGCCCGGATGACTACTCAAGAAAAGCCGAAAGCAGGTCAAATCAACACAAGCAAGACTCTCCGTAGAGATGCGCTTGATCTGCGCCCGAGCCGCATCGCAAGTCGCATTACCACCCCGATGGGGGCTCATACCCATCCGAGCCCCATACAACGGACCGTACCACCCCGATGGGGGTTCATACCCATCCAGGCCCTACGCGAGGACCGTACCACCCCGATGGGGGCTCGTACCCGTCCGGTCCCGCACAACGGACCGCAATTACCAGCCTCGATGAGGGGTTTATACTCATCAACCGAAGGATCGGCTACGTCGAAGCAGTATCCGGAGGTTCTACCACGTGTCCATCGAAAGGATCGGCTACGTCGAAGTAGTATCCCGGAAGTGCACGAGCACGTAAATTATTCCCCGCAGAGCTCGGCGCATGAGCGACCCGAGCAAGAAGCCGCCATCACCACCGGTCCCACGCAGTGGGACCGCGCCAGCCGGATAGGGGGTTTATACCTATCAACCAACACACGAGAAGCGCCTTGCCGGCGCATGAGCCACCCGACTCCCCAAGGAAGCCGCCACCACCGCCGCTCCTACGCCGAGGACTCGTACCAGCCTGATAGGGGGTTTATACCTATCTACACGCACCATTGCACCTGGATCCCCGGTGAAGTCACAATTACCACCCCGATGGGGGTTCATACCCATCCGGTCCCACACAACGGACCGTACCAGCCTGATGGGGGTTTATACCCATCAACCAAAGGATCGGCTACGTCGAAGTAGTATCCGGAGGTTCTATCACGTGTTCACCAAAGGGATCGGCTACGTCGAAGTAGTATCTCGAAGGCACACGACCACCACATCTCCCCGCAGGATCATCCGTCACAAGATGGGACATCCGAAAGGCAACCGGCAAGAGGGTCAACTCCTTTACCCCCGCCGATCATCCCGACAACGAAGGCCAGCAGTCGACTCGGATGGGTAAAGGGGGGCAGCTGTAGACCCCAAATCTTGCCCGGCTCCAAATAAAGTCGAAGATCCCCTATTCGAAGACGGCCGAAGCCTAACAAGCCACTAGGAGAGACTATTAGGCTCCTGTACCAAGATGGGAAGGGTTTTTCGGCCCAAAATAAAGTTTCTCGCGTGGAAGGGGACTCCCGGTCAAGTCTCGCTCAAGCGAGTACGTCCGCCGCTTGAGCGAGAGGTGACGCAATCAAAGGGGACTTCCAGGTCGAATCTCGCTCAAGCGACCGGTGTACTCGCTGAGCGACGGATGACGCAATCAAAGGGGACTTCCGGTCGAATCTCGCTCAAGCGACCGATGTACTCACATGTAATCGCTTGAGCGACAGATGCTCCAACGAGACCGGGGTCTCGTTCACCTGCACCGGGTCTCGTTACCAACGAAAATGAGACCGGGTTCTCGTTCACCCAGACCGGGGTCTCGTTGCTTATGCAAAACGAGACGGCGGTCTCGTTGTACGAGACGGCGGTCTCGTTGCTTCTGCAAAACGAGACGGCGGTCTCGTTGTACGAGACGGCGGTCTCGTTGCTTCTGTCAAACGAGACGGCGGTCTCGTTGTGCGAGATGGCGGTCTCGTTGCTGTCAGACGAGACCGGCGGTCTCGCCACCTGACAGCGCGGAAACCTATAAATAGGGGCTCTCCCCCCCTCATTTCCACACACCACAGCTGCCTAGCTCTCCCTTCTCTCTAAAACTTCTCTCTAGAATCCCTCCGACGCATTTCCGGAGTTTCTGAGTGCTTTTAAGAGTGATTTTCGGCGTTCGAGAGGTTTCCGACGTCTTGTAGAGTGAAGGGCTGCCATAAAGCACCCTATTTTTCCAAAGAATTAATATAAAAAGCGTGCTTCGGAGGTTCAAATTCTCTCTTTCCACCTTTACCGCTTTTATCTTAAATTATGCAGTAGACATTAGGGCCATGTAGTCATACTTTTAAATTCCGCAGAATAAAAAGGGCAAAAGTGCGTTTTTCTAGTTTATCAATAAAAATAAGCCGGCCTATCATAGGGAACCCGAAAGGGGCGTCGCAAAGGGACTAATACTCCCTTTGCACGTAACCAACTCCCTTACCCAACTCTGGTTCTAATGACCAAAGTTGGTTTTCGAAAACCAACGCCTTTTCAAACCCCTTTTCCGATGTTTATGGTAAAAATATCGGTGGCGACTCCATAGAACCCAAAATAAATAAAACTTTGAGTTAGCCCGGTTGTCGGACAACTCAAGGACACCTTTCGAAAACCTCGTCTCTAGGTTAGCCCGGTTATCGGACAACTTAAGGACGTTGTAACCACCAATAAAAAACGCGAAAACAAGAAGGGTCGATAAAACCATCGCGTCGCTCCGACCGCCTCGTTTTGACGGCGGCGACAGCAGGTCAGGAGCTTAGCTTCCAACAATTAAGGTAGCAGCAGTCCGTAGGAAGTGGAGATGGGAGTGAACTTCCTTTCTTTCTTGCGGGACTGCCTGGGCGTTTGCGGGGTAGAAGAAGGAGTGGCGAAATTGATTGCGTGCACAGATTCATCCCTCTTCTTGCCAGCAGGTTTCCTGAAGGAGGCGCCAGCTTGGGAAGTTTGTGCTATCTTCCCGCTCCTCAGTCCTTGCTCCACTCTCTCGCCCATAGTGACTATGTCCGAGAAGAGATTGGAGGTACTGGCTATCGCCTTGTCGTAGTACGCTCCTGTCAGTGAGTCGATAAACATAGCCACTGTCTCCTTGTCCGTCAGAGGAGGCTCTATTTGGGCTGCCATTTCCCTCCACCTCTGGGCATACGCTTTAAATGGCTCGTCGTTCCTTTTGCTCAGAGTTCTAAGATCTGACCTGTCAGGTGTCAAATCGATGTTGTATCGGTAACGACGAAGAAAAGCGTCAGCCAACTGTTTCCAGTTCTGGACCTGCCCTCTCTCTAACTGCATATACCAGTTAAGCGCTGTGTCCGCCAAGCTCTCCTGGAAGCAGTGGATCAGGAGTTTCTCATTGTCAGCATGGGCGGCCATCTTACGGCAATACATCGTAAGATGGTTCTTTGGGCAGGTCATCCTGGTGTACTTAGGGAAGTCCGGGATTTTGAATTTGGGAGGGAAGCGGATGTCCTTTACGAGGCACATGTCAGCCACCTCCTTGACGTCGAAGTTATGCCCTTCGACCGCCTTCAGCCTCTCCTCTAGGGTGGAGAGTTGTTGTTTAGATACTTCTGGGGTAAGGACGCGTGCAGTCTTGGCGGCCTTATCGCCAAAAAAGTATTCCTCCTCCTCCTCCTCATGAGGAGGGATATGCTCAGCTTGGTCTTCGCCCTTGTTCTGCCCCTGGCGTACGACCTCCATTAGTTGGGCCATCTGTTCGCGGAGGATGTTAACCTCTGCAGTAAGCTTGTGGTTTTGCTCTTCCAGATTTTCCATTGCCTTAGCCTTTTGTGCACGAGTACGAGTGGGGAGAGGACCAGCCACTTTCTAGAATGTCCGAAAAAGTTTATTAATGCATGTTGAGTGCTTGAACTAGCATGGAGTATGTATGAGAGATTTTTAAATGATGCTGAGTGTACTCCCATTTTTATTTTCTCTCTTGGTTTTTCTTTACTCATGATATGATGTAGTATGGATGAGTTGACTTTGTCAAAAGTTTTTTTTTTATTTATTTTTGTATTTTTTGTATTTGACGTTTATTTGTTTATTTTATAGCCTTTTATCTCTTCTGTCGGAACTGCGTGGCTACTTAGCTTACAAAGAACCTGAAACCAGGCTAGCTAAAAGGCAGACTGTCCGAGATAAAATATGGCTTTATGCGAAAGAATATTTATCGTCCCTTATCTCTTTTGTCGGAACTGCGTGGCTACTTAGCTTATAAAGAACCTGAAACCAGGCTAGCTAAAAGGTAGACTTTCCGAGATAAGGGTGTTTATTTGAGAAGAATATATTTTTTTGTGATTTTGTTCTGTCGTTTGTTTATGCTATGCAACATACAAATGCAACAAATGAAGCACTTGGTGGATTTGATGAAGACTTAGATATAATTTGATGAAGACATAAATTTAGTTTAGGTTGTGGGTGTGTAGATGATTA